TACTGGAAGAATGTGCTTTTCAGACTTTATTCTCTTCTTATGAATTGTTCACAGCCAAGAAAATAACTTTCCATCAGTTGAAGAACCCTAGAAGTAAAAATAAGAAGGGTTTAAAAAAATCTGGTTTACTTTCTCTCAAGTACCTTGTTCCTCTACTCTTCATTTTACTAAATTCACCAAGCAATACACACAAGGCAGATTTATGTTTGTTTTTTCAATCCTTTACTTCATCAATCTCGCTTTTTATTATCTCTTCAAAAATAAATGCTTCTATAGAGCACTGTGGGTTTTTTTCAAGACAAATCTTAAGCTAACACTGACTTGAAAGTGACAGCTAATGAGTAGGCACCTCCGTGTAGGACATGCAATAGTGGTGTGTCAGGTAAAGATAATTCACCGCCCGACGGCTTTTTCCCCATGTCAGTTGCTGTCTGTGCACCTACCAGCTAAGCTGGCAGATGAAAGCCTGTGGCCAGACAAGGCTCTGATCCTTGTGCTGGACACCCAGGCAGTGTTTCTTCTCTTGCTCCCGGCAGCAGTCACAGAGAATTTCCAGTCTCTGAAGTGTTTTTCCAAATTGCCTGGATACTCTTTTTAGCATTACAGGCCTATTGTCTGTCCTGTATCTGTCTGTGCTGCGAGGTCTGCTCCCCTCCTGTGCCTGCCCAGTCATTTCCATACAAGACGACTTTATTCCTGATACTGGAGACAGTTCACCTCCTGTTCTGAACAGGAATTTAAGCACAAGGCATAGCTTATTACATCCATACACATGAAACATGAGTTTTGAGGTCCAGGTCTGGTCAGGTGTCTTCCAAAACCTCTGGTGAGGAGTGGAAGGGGATGCTCTCCTGCCAACAGAATTGGAGGATGAACCACTTACTTATTCCTTAAATTAGTTTATCTTGGATTGTTTATACCAAAGGTCTTTGGGACACATTGCAACCCTGCAGAAAATTTATATTTAAATCATTCAGTCTCTAATTCCACCCTAGACCCTAAGCATTGTAATCCATCATTTACATAATTCTTTTCAAAGAGCGAGACAAACTTTTAACTAATAATTCCCTGTGCTGCTCCGCAAAGAAGTGAAACCCTGGTTTATTTGTACATAAAAGATCAGGAAACTGACCCAAGCCCTTTTAAAAGTTGATGCATTTTATTTCAGATTCATTCCATCACTGGCCTTGAGGGATCCAAACAGAAGAGATTAATAAATTGTAGATTTCTGTCACAATAGCAGCATTGTCAGAATTAATAAAAGTGCCTGAAAACTCGATTCTCAAAATTGCATCAGGCAGACCTTGGCTGCTTCTCTGACGTTTCATGTCTCATGAGGATGCTTTGCATAGTTTTGAAATAAAGTGGGGCGCAGCCTCCTGGCCCAACTGCTGAGGTTTTCCATGTTAAAACAGAGAGTTTTAGGGGCAGAAGAGGGTGGCAGTGGGGATGCACAGCCGCTGCCGGAGCTCAGGAGCACTCGGGCCTTGCAAAGTTGGGACAGAGCCCTTATTATTTAGCTACCGAAGGGAACGTGAAGCTGGTAGCACTGAGATAAGCACAGGTTTTCCCCAAAACAAACCCTAAAACTTTACTTTGGGGGGTTCATCCCACCTTTATCCAGTCTGCGTTGAGACAAAGATGCATCACATGGAGTCTCACCTAGATTTCAATGGTAAGAGACTTGGAATCCATTTTTAATTTTGTTAAAGGAAACTTATATACAAACATCTGGATATTTTCAAGTACAGTTTTGCATTTTCTTTCAGTTCCTATTGAAGTTTCAAAAAAAATATTATAGCCATGATTTAATGGCCTGTGTTGTATGTAAGGAAGAAAATAAGGAAAAAGACAATAAAAGAAAGCAGAAATTTACAAGCCCAGTTAAGCAGAGAGGTACTTAAAACTGGCAGGCTTGTTTTTATGCTTTTCTTACCACTCTAATTTTAGTTATTATAGTTATTCTATTATTTAGTTACAATATCCAGTTAGAGCCAATATCTCATTGTTTGAAACGTTGTTCTAATTTATACTGGCAGCATTGGTTACAGAAAGGTATAAATCTTTTTCTTGAGCACCTCTGCAGCTGAAATAAAATCTAGCTTGTCTTTTCATGTAATCCAGAATTGAGAGAGTTTACTGGAGAGACAACTTCTGTAACTCACCCAGGCAAAGTTTGCTCTGAAAAAAGTGCAACCGCGGATGTGGTTCCTGGTCCACATGAGGTTTCTACACAAGGATGCTGTGGATTTCAGCCTTGATTCTGCAACTCTTACTTATCTCTGCAGCCCACAGAAGCTGGCACTCAGGCTGGCTTGAGAAGATCCCTGTGGGCTTTGCAAACCCTCCTTTGCTGTGGGGATATTCTTTTTTTTTTTTTAGGTTGCGGTGAATTGCAGTACAGTGCAATTTCCCGTTCTTTCACGGTGACTTGTGGGAAAATTTTATCTGTCCTTTCCCAACATATGTCAGAGGCAGAAATAAGTCATTAAGGGACTGGCAGAACTTGACTGGCACTAGCCCCTGCCCGCACTTCAGAGCAGGCAGATGAGCAGCTGACAGCTGTGGCAGACAAGCTGCACTAGCAAGAGTTGATAATATAAGCCCTATAACTAACCAGCAGCTTGCTCCATCACTCTCAAAAGTTTACTTGCTGTTGTTGTGTTGGAGATTTCATAGAAAAAAGGAACAAGAAGAGCGTGAGTCAAGTTGCTGCAGTCTTACAAAATGTTTCTGTTTTTCTGAAAATGTCACACTGATGACATCCTGTAATCCCAGTGATGCAAACCTTTCTCTGATTAGGGGAGAACATTAGCAAACAGCCTAGCTAGGCGGTCAGAAATGCCCTTTATAACATAAAAATCAATGAAACAGTACTGAAAGCATGCACAGATGTTTCCAACTGGGTAATATACACTGAAAGCACACAGGAACCTTAGTTGTCTCATCTGCAAAGAGACATTTCTTTTTGCTAAGGTGCATTGTGGGTCCTAGTGAATACACTAAGGCCTATGAAATTACCCTCTACCCCTCTTACCAAAATCGTCTGTGACTGAAAACACCTGGGTTTCCAAATGCACAAGTTTGTTTTGCAGCAAGGTTGTCACTGTAGCTTTTGGTTCTGTATTTCTGCTGTGAAAAGAGAAGTACTGAACACGGTGACCGAGGTGAAGGTACTAACCCCACTTCCCACACAGCCAAAAGGGATCCCGCTGGGGGTGTTTTAAGGGGAACACGATCGTGGGACTGGTGGGGGTGGACGAAGGTTGCTGCCCTTCCATGACAGTCAGATTCATCAGCATCCAAAATATCTCATTCTTCTTTCTCTACAATATTTTTTTTTTAATTAGAATAGTCAAATGCATGCCAAGCTGACTTTGTGTCACCCTAAAGTCTTAATTAAAATGTAATGTTTCCTTAATTTGCCTTAGAAGTCATTAATTGGGTACACACCAGTGGGTGGCTATCTTGGTCTCCAGAGGCAGCAATGAGTTGTTGGCTGAACATGTGTCAAAAGTAGTTAATGGGAGTCCAAGTGGGAAATGATACAACCTACAGAGACAGACTGGAAGGGAAAAGAGGAAAGGATATAGTCTTTTACATTGGAGATAGAAGATAAAATGCAGCAAAGATACAAAGCAAAAATAACAAGTCCTTTCCTCTTTTCCATTCCAGTCTTTCTGTCTGGGTTTACGTTTTAGTAAGGGATGAGTGAGTTGGGCTAATTCTACAGAATGGGGCAAACTAGTCAAAAAGGCGGGGCAGGACAAACAGAGAAAATGCAGCCCATGGGATATTGGAAAGACTGAGAATGCTAAACTTGGGAAGAAGATGAGAAAGAAATGGCAAGGAGGATAACACATCCTTTATGCATTAAATGAATGATAGATAAAAATACTGTTAAAAAGCATGACTTTGCCCGCTATAATTAAAGATGCAGAAAAGCTGAGGCTGGACAATAGTAATAGCCTTAGGGCCTGAGTCTACACTCATCAAAACACAGATGGTCCTTGCCCCTGCTGCCCCAGTGCCTGATTATTGGTCTTCCCGTTGCCAGACTAGACAAAGCCATGGCATTTCTGAGCGTATAGGAGATGCCTGATTAGCCTCAATAGCACTTTCATAATTGAAAATATCTATATCCATTAGACGATATTACTAATAGTTGGAACTTCTGTAATTCTTTAACGGGAAAATCTTACATCAGTCATAAGTCTCACCTCTAACTCTTCGGTCTGGCAAGTGTTACCCTGTAGGACTATATCATATTAAAGAATATCTCCTAGAAATATTTAATTAGTCAGTCATTTCTTAACTCAGAGTTCCTCTTTATCTTCTTGTAGCTGCAATGTTGTAACTTTGTTTTGCTATTTTTCCCCACTGTTTTATGAAGTGCATAAACACGCATTGCCAATACTAAGCAACCATTTCAGATTTGTGGTTAACTAAACCATTCAACTGTTTTAAATCTATTAACAAGTTGGTCATTAAATGAATCAGTGACCTATTTCTCAGCTACTCAAGCTAAGATACTGTAACTGATGACCTATAAAAGCATCAGTGTGTTAAGAGAAATTATTAGCTGCAGAAGGAGAGCAACAATTGGTCACTTCAGCAGCTCCCACCAATCTGAACAGAAAGATGTCCCATTGCCAGCTTCAAATAATTCAGAAAAAAATCAGATTTTGACACAGACTAATGTCTAGGAGGAGTACCGTGAAGCTGCTACGCAGGCAGCATACGTCTCTTCTTCTCAGTTTATTACTGGAAAATTTTAAGCAAGTATTTAAAATGGTTCAAACCTGGGATGTTCAGGAGTAAAATCTGGGATGCAGACTCTCCTGGACTCAGAGGGATATATTTCAGACCTGCTACTTATTTGTAGAGTGGAACAAACCAAACCTACGGTCCAGCCTCCCCTGCTCCTTGCCTGGGGACAGGCATGGTTTAGACCCAGGTCCAAATTCTGAGCCCTGGCTTGGCCCACCCCATATAGCAAGATGATTGAAGATGTTGGGTTTAATGTTGAGCTCCTCCGTTGCTCTAATCCAGCAACAGGCAATACATGGAAGCCCCTGCTGAACCCTCACGTGTTTCTGAATGAGCAGGTGGTGGTGGGCACAGAGGATGGGGCAGCATGGTGGGGCACAGCCATGCCCTGTTGTCTACCCCCCCAGCCAGAGACCAGCAGGGGAGGGCAAAAATCAGGAGGATGGAGAAAGGGAGGCAGGAGTTACCTGCCCTCTCGACACCTTCATCAACTGTGGCACCAGGGACCCCCACACCAGGTGCTGCAGCCTGGTGGAGCTTAGTACCTTCCGTCCCCTGCCATCTGCAGCCATCTTCACACTGGTGTCTAAGTGCTTTCCAGCTAGGCCACCTGCTCCTCAAAACAAATGATGTGGTTTTCTGCTTTTTCGCCTTCCCCAGCTCAAACCAGCCCAGAGTACTCAGCTACAAGCTGCCAAGTGAACCAGCCACTTTTCCCATTTACCGGAGACTGCCCCACTTGGGGGTTGCCTTTTGGGATGGCAAACGCACCGTGTCCCACCCTGCTGGGGTGAGAATTACAGCTTGAAAACTGAGGCGGGGGGGAGTGGGGGAAAGCACGATGGAATCTGCTTGCTCAACCACCCTGAAAAGAAACCTAAAACCTTCCTGCTAACACACGTCAATGGTCTTTTGTGATTTTATTTGTGTGAGGTTCATCCCATGACACTGCATGTAGATGTAAGTAGATGACAGTAAAGTCAGGAGTCAAAAAAGCAGAGGAGCGTAGTGGCTCGCTCACCTACAGCGTAAAGGTGCTTCAGCCCAGTTACTGCTTGAAGAGCAACTTTTTTTTTTTTTTTAACTTCTTTCTTTTGCAATCGTTGCTCGCTTGACAGGCCCAGACGGAATTACATCACTTCCTAAAACCCATCAAAGAGAGTCCATCTCCTGCAGAAATGCGGCTCAGATGCACCCCGGCAGGAAACAGGAAACGTCAATGTTCGGGTGAAGCAGGAGCCGGCCCGAGCGCCCCTCGGGTGGGAGCGCCGCCGAGGCAGCATGCCAAAGCCAAACCTGGTCGCCCTGCTTTCTGTCCTCTTGCTGGCCGGGGGATCTGCCGACAACAGTGAGTAAGAAAGCGCCTTTTTTTGCCTCCCGAGGTGGGACCGCGTTTCGTGCCTGCAGCGACGGGACCGAGTCGGAGGGCAACACCCTCCCAACTCAGCGCTTGGGGAAGATCTGTGGGGACTTGCTCTTCCCTTCTTTTAGCTGTGCTTATCCTCTCTGTTTTCAGCTGCCCGGCTTTTTCAAAGATTTGACTTTTCTTCCTTAAACCTAACCCTGAATGGCAGCAACCGAATCCTATAATCCCTAAAGCTTTGACTTTTTTTCCTTAGACCTAACCCCGAATAGCAGCAACTGAATCCTACAATTCCTAAATTTCAGGTGTGTAGGGAACCAGAGCTTCCATGCTGGCCTGCCAGGCATTTTGGCTCTAATTTTAATTATTTGTTGTACTTTTTTAACCCCACACCCATACTATGAACGTTTAATAGTAAGGTTAAAGATGGAGCACCGCTTCCATTCAAAAGCTGACTGCCGATTTCCGTAGTCCCGGTGCACCGAAACCGGTTTAACAAAAGAGCAGCCGGTTCCGGAGACAAATATTTTGAATTCTCAGCTGCAGAACAAAGTGGTCGGCACCATGGGTTTAGGTCCTGACCTGAAGGGAAGAACCACAAGTAGAAAAGCCGCTTGTGATAAAATGCTGAAGCGTTGGGGTGTCGTTGCAGAAGCTCTCACCCATTTGCAGGGGGTAGTTTGTTCCACTGGCATTTTGGCAGCCAATGACTGCACAAGACAGGCAGTTTTTTAGTAATACCTTGCCAGGCAGTGCTTATATGCCTTTCAGTGTCAAACAAATCACTGCCCAGGTGCCTCAGTATGGACAAGAAGTGCTTGGTGCCGCTGGGGTTCTCCAGAAAGCAGGGAGAGAGGATGGTCACGCTCAGCTATCGCTGGACTTCTTCTATCACAGTTTTAAAATGCATTGGTGAAATAGGTGGCTTGATATGGGTGTTTTTTCCCTGAAAATCAGCAGTATAAGCAGGGTGTAAACCTGGGCTCCTGGTGTGCTGCCAAGCTGCTCACAGTTAGCAGTCTTCCTTAGCTGTAATAGTGAGCTAAGCAAGGTATGAAATGGTTTGGTCTTGTCTGCATTACTGCAGCCCCGCTGCATTACAGACACATTGAGAAGATATGCTGTGAGCACTGGATGTAGCTCAGAATCAAATTGGTCAGAGGGAAAAATCACGCCATGGACAGAGCTAAACAGAGGTCCCAGGGAAACAGAGGGGCACAACCCGAGCAACGCAGAGTGACCAGGCTCCAGGCTCCTTGGCTCACTTGCAGTGTGCCGGCCGCTAGCATTTCATCACCATCACCGAAGGGCAGAGGGATGCCTCAGTCCCCAACTCCCCCAGCCCACGGCTGGGCCCTCCTGCCCTTCTTTATGATGGGCATTAAAGGGCTGCACAAAGCACTGGGCACCCCCACCTACTCCCCACTGCCTTTAGCGACTTCCTTCCGGTAGGTCCACTTTTAAATTCTGTTTGATTTTGGAAGCGTTCCTCCAAATGAGTGAGTTGTGACAGAGCTCTCACCAATCACTGTCAGCCCCAGCTCTCCTGAGCCAGTCCTCAGCTGCTGGGGGAAAGGCAGGAGAGCATCCACCCAGGAAAGAGCAGGGACCCTTGCTCCCCACAGAAAGGTGGCTTTTGCTTGTGTAACCAGCCCCAAAATGTACTTGGGGCTTACTCTGACTGCAAGGGCGGGAGGGAGGAAGGGAGGGAGCTGTGAGCTTGGACTTTGGGGGAGAAATTGAACTGGAGGGGGAAGAGTTTATGTACCTTACTTATGAGGCTTATATACCTCACAGGCACTGGTGGGTTGGGACCCCTCTGTTGAGGGCAGCCAGCTGGGGACAGCCTTTGCTCCCACCTCTGCTTGCTCACAGATCAACAAGGCAGGACCTTTAAAGGAGTTTTTTTGCCTTTTTCCTCCAGTCTCAGACACAGTTCTCACCTTTAAAGAGATCTGCTGGAGAAGGGGAGCAGAAGCTCTTGCGGATCTCCCAGGTCTCACCTCTACTGTCTAGAAACCACTTACAAAATAGGTGATAGGAGTATGATTAAATCTTGCAGCATAGACAGATTGAAGCCTATACAAGTTCTGTTCCCATACCTTACTGGAGCCTTGTGAAACCCTAGCCCTGCCATTGGGATTATGATTAACAGACAGTTTTCTCCCGGCTATGCTACAATCACTCTAAGCCGGTAGCTCTAAGAGCGTGCCTGAGGTCTCAGCTGTGGGTGCAGGCCCTCTCCTGGCTCAACAGTGAGGGGACATCAGGGTTTGCACCAGTCCCCTTCCCCTTGCTCATCCCTTTGCTTTATGCAGGCAGAAAGCCCTGCCGATGACCTGCTGAGGGCCAGCAGTGGTCCTCCCTGCCCTGGGTGATGGTGGTTGCTGCTCAGCCTCGTAGTAGCCCTGAAGATCTACCTAGGTGTGTGCTGACTCTAGGAACAAGTATTAGGGTCCTTAGTACAGCTTATAGGAAAAGGCTGTGACCCTATGGGCATTTCCCAGGGTATGGCGTCTCCCTCTGTGCTCGGTGAAACACATGGGAAGTTGCAGCAGAAGTGGTCTGACGGGGGAGCAAGAAAACATGTGAGGGAGAGGAGCAGGGAGAGGTCGTTAAGTGGAAGAGCAGGTAGTGCATTATTTTGGCTGTGTCTCTGTGCTATTGTTTTGAGCTGCTATTCAAAAAATTGTTTCTATCAAAGATCCAGATATTCAGTAGCTTGTGCCATAAGCACAGCCGTAACCTCTCCCTTTGGCAGAGAAGTGCCCTTTAGGTAAAGTCCCCTACAAAGCCAAGGTCTCTAAGGGAGTGATATTTTTGACCTGTTCCCCCCTAGAGTAATGAACTCAGGAATGGGTTTGAACCAATCAATCAAACATCAAACCCGTCAAATAGTTGCCTGGTAAAATTTTCTAGCAAAGCAACAATATAGGAAACGAGGATTTGCTACATCCTCTCTTTCCAAAGTGCAGCTTCCTAAAAAGCAGATGAAATACCCTTTCTACTGAACACATCAGTTCCTGGTACATATTTACTCCTATTCATCCCTTTTATCCACACACACAAACTTCCACTGTGTTTTATTCAAGTGCTTCAGGGGCATTTCAGAAAATTCCTCCTTTACATCAGCAAGATCGTACAATAAATTTCAGCCAGTGACCCCAGTCTGTGTTCCCTGAAGAGATAGTTGGAGAGCCTCTGGAGCTTTTGCATCTTTAATTTCAGGGTCCTCTGAGAGCAAGGAGCACCAAGAGATTTGCATCACAGTGAGGTCACACGGGTATCCCTGGTGCAGAGCTGGAAGGCCACGAGATTAAGTAGATGCAACTAAATGCATAAATTACAGAAAACCTTTAGTACTGGGGGTAAGAAATGAGACTACAGGTTCACAGTCTGATTCTAAGACTCGTGACTGAATTTGCAACACTGGCAGTTAATGCTGGATGGAAGTACGGCAAGGAGAAAGCAGTTTCCGTCGTCTAGAAATGAACTTAAACAGTTGTTTCCTCTTTCAGGTTATACCTAGATAACACTTTCTAAGCACCCCATTTTAATAGGATCTTGTCTGCAGATTAGCCATCCTGAAATGTTTCTGCTCCCTCATCAGAAGAGCGTGTGCGCCCGACAGCTAGCCTGCAGGCTTGTACGGATTCCTCTTCCAGCCAGACTGACAGGCAGGACCTGCCGCAACAGGCAGCTGGGCAAGCCCTGGCCGCGGCAAGGAACGGCCCTTCTTACAGCAACATGAAACGCAGGGAGAGGAACAGAACAGGGATGAGTCAAGCAATAGGAGAGAGGATCATACGGACCACGTGGAGCCGTATGACTATACCAGCAGGAGGAATGTGTATATGGAGCGGAGTGATATAGGCTGTGGTAACTTGACTCCAGTGTGCACGGCTTTACAGCCTTCTCTCCTTTTGTCACCCTCTCGTGAGCCTTCCTTTCACTGCGTTTTTATACCTTATAGGAATGTTTGGAGAAATAAATTCCCTTTCGAATTAATAAGCTTGACTATCCCACCGACTTAGCTACTGCTCTTCCTCTGTCCCATCCCTTCTTCTTCCATAAGTAGTTACTATAGTGTGGTTTAAAAAATTCCCTTCAGAGACCCCCAATCTGCGAGTCTGATGAGAAGGCAGCAGGGAGACTGATGATTTACAGGAGAACCAAATGTGCTGACTGCTGGCTACTTTCCTTTGCCTCGCATCCAACTGAGATCAGAAACCTGTTTGCCCACTTACTTCATCAAGAAGCTCATATCGCCACCTCCGAGGGCTACAGCACAAGCCTCAGAGGAAGAAACGCTGCAACAACAGAAATGTTGTTTGTTTGTTTGAGATGTGGTTGTTTGGACTCCCAATCTGTAAAGCTGCTCGGTATCTTCAATTCCCTCTGTCTCCCTTGAAAGGCTTCAAAACTCACACAAAGTCCATCAGTAATCTGAGCATATTTTTAAAGCAGAAAATACTGATTAATACCTTATACCATGGTATTTGCATACAGGGACGTAGCCTTTTTGTAATTTATAATGAAACCTTTTTTGAGCCGCTGCTAGTGCTTGCTCAGGCATTTTGGTCCCCTGAGAAGTAGATCCTCTAATATCTCAGTGGTAGGAACCTGAGGACTTCTTAGCTTCCAGCTCCAGCTTCTTAGCTTCCAGGTCCAGCTGTGCCCAGCTCCCCACCAAGGTGGGACACAGCAGTATGCCAGTCACTCTCGCTTCTGCTCTTGAAAGCATGGAAAGTGGTCATAAAGGCTGGGCTGAAGATGTGGCCCATCCACATCCCTCCACGTGGGGAGAAGTTGCCAGCACTCATGCCCCAGGCTGTCCAGTCAAACCTGAAGTGGATGCAGTTGTTGTGTGAGCACTTGCTCCTTGGCTGAGATGTGTAGATGCCCAAGTACAGATATCAGACTGTGGCCAAAAACACAAGACTGAGCTCAGCAAGAGGAGGGGTGTGTGCTCTGTAAAGTCAAGAGATATCTCCATGGTCGTACATGTCTTGCTCCTTGTTTTGCTCCATTGGCCTTGGTTTTTCATCCTGAATGTGTGTTACTACTTTTCAGAGGGAGTGAACCTCCTGTGGTTCAACAAGACCAAGTGCAGGGTCCTGCATCTGGTTGCGGCAACCCCTGGTATCAGTACAGGCTGGGGGATGAAGGAGTTGAGAGCAGGGCTGCTGAGCAGGAGTAGGGGGTACTGGTGGATGAAAAGCTGGATGTGAGCTGACAATGTGCACTCCCAGCCCAGAAGGCCAACCGTATCCTGGGATGCATCAAAAGAAGTGTGGCCAGCAGGTCAAGGGAGGTGATTCTGCCCCTCTACTCTGCTCTAGTGAGACCCCATCGGGAGTACTGCATCCAGCTCTGGGGCCTTCAGCACAGGAGAGACATGGACCTGTTGGAGCAGATCCAGAGGACAGAATGATCAGAGGGATGGAGCATCTCTCCCGTGACACCAGGCTGAGAGAGTTGGGGTTGTTCATTCTGGAGAAGAGAAGGCTCCAGGGAGATATTATTGAGGCCTCCCAGTACTTAAAGGGGGCCTACAGGAAAGAGGGGGACAAACTTTTTAGCAGGGCCTGTTGTGATAAGACAAGGGGTAATGGTTTTTAGCTAAAGAAGGGTAGATTTAGACTAGGTATAAGGAAGAAATATTTTACAATGAGGGTGGTGAAACACTGGCACAGGTTGCCCAGAGAGGTGGTAGATGCCCCATCCCTGGAAATGTTCAATGTCAGGTTGGATGGGGTTCTGAGCAACCTGATCTAGTTGAAGATGTCCCTGCTCATTGTAGGGGGCTTGGACTAGATGACCTTTAAAGGTCCCTTCCAACCCAAACTATTCTATGATCTCTGCAAGATGAAACACAAGCACAGCTGACAAGACAGTTCATGATATGAATGACCACCGCAAATCTGGCTCCCTGCAGGCATGGAGAAAATGTTTGAATAGCATCTCACAAAATCTCTGACTTTCAGATGCTCTCCTGCCCTGCTCCAAACCTTACAACGTCCAGCTTTTGTTCACCCTACAAAACAGCCATTTGGGCCATCTGCAGCGCAGCCCACATGCTATTTTGAACACTTTAAACTGAAACTCTATGAAAAACAACATCTACCTCAGGGCCGACCACATGGGTCTCATGTGGCCCAGGCAGCTGGCGGTGGCAAGCGCTGGGCTTGCACCGGGAGGCATGAATCCGTCCCTCCCCTGCCTGAGGTACAAATCCTCCTTTGGTGCAAGCCACCAGGCCCACCTAGGTGCAGGTGGTGATTTTCTTGTGGTGTAAAAAATGTGATGTGTGGGTGGCCCAAGAGCGAGAGCAGCCCCTGTGTGACAGGTAGGGAAGGCATTCTGCGGGCCTGAGCTCTGGTCCTCAGAGGTGACGGGCAGAAACGCTGAAGGGAAATGTGTAGAGGCAGCAGGTGAAACACAGGAAATAAGAGCAATATCCTTCCAAGAACATTGTGCAATTGGCTGCCCTTCTGCTGAAAGGCATATTTAATTCACTTGGAGAAAAGATCTCTGTAAGAGAGAATGGTGTTCGCAGAAGAGAAGCTGTTTTGTCCCTAGAATTATGCAAAGTGAAGAAAAATACGTGGCAGCAAGGTCACTTCCCGCCATTTGCCATTTTCTTTGCTTGGAGACTAGAAAAGGTAATTTTATTTCACACAGAGATAAATTACTTGAAATCTGATTCATAGCTCAAAAATGGGCAAATAAAAACTAGCAGAGACACTGGAAGAGTCTCTCTTGGAAATCAAGCACAGCGTACGCTGCAGCTGAAAGTTTAGCCCTGCAGTTAATGAGGTGTGACTGTTTGCTTTTGCTTTAAAGTCACACCAGGCTTTAGACATCTGAAAAATCCATTTTAGCTCTAGGAGTAAATGAAAAATCAGGTATCTTCTCCGCACCCTTTCCCATTTGTACTGTTCTAAGCAACCGGGCTTGTCCTTGTCAATATATCAGATGTGGCAGGCGAGGGGTTTCAAGGGCAATGGCTAGAGGAGGAAAACAAAGCAAGGTCATCGATGCGGTTCAGGGAGGCTGCGGTGGTCCAGCGGCTCCACCAGCGGCGCAGTCCATCACACCGCAGTCCATCACACCATCACACCACAGTCCATCACACCATCACACCACAGTCCATCACACGGCAGTCCATCACACCACACACCGCAGTCTGCGGCGCGGATGGCTCTAGCGATACCTCTCACAGCAATCAAAATGGAGTAGCAGCAGGCCCCGGGGGACTATAAGCTACCTCGGGAAAGAAAAGTCAAGTGGCCAAATTAATAAGGGAGTGGAGCTCTCCCTCCTGTCCTCTGCAATAGGATTAAGGACAGGCAGCACATCATGGAGCAGGGTGGAGGAGCACACGCATAACGGGTCATTACCTGCAGGGGAGGCAGAGATTGTGTTCTGCTCTTGGCTGAAACACTAGATACAGAAGCAAGTGACAGAGAGATTATGGATATGAAGTGCTTTGCCACAGGCCAGCTAACATTTTCATTGCCATATTGTGGTGAAAGATTCTGGTGTGCTTTGCAGTATTAAATACTACATTCAAGTATTAGGTATTATTTATTAAGTATTAAAATTCTTTCCTAGTTTTTAGGAAAGGATGAAACAATCTGGTGCCTGAGTGGCAAGTGTGGCATAAAAATCTAGATAAATCACTGCTGTCACACTCAAATAATTTCATTCATTTGAAATTAGCTTTCCTGGAATACAGTCTTACGCAACCCTCATCTCCTCTTCAAGACAAATCTGACAGGAGACGAGATGCTGCAGAGTGGATTAAGCAAAAGATAGCGCTCTAATCCCAGTTTTCCTTTCTCACTTGGTGTCCCTGGGAAGGACAGCATCCCTGTCCTTCTGATTTCTCATTTGTAAAATGGGTTGATAACTGCTCATCTCTCAGGGCCATTATGAAGATTAATGTGTTTACAAAAGCATTTAAAATGCTAACTACTTCTGGTTTCAGTCCTGTGAGATTCAAAATGCCAGCACTGAGGTGCTGAAAACCTTAAGCTCTTGCTAACTCTAGTGGAAACTGTGGCTGCCCAGCACTTTAAAAGAACAGGGAGAAACATGTCTTTGTACAGTCATGAAATTTTGCCCTGCTTTATTGCATAAAATGAGAGCTGCACCGTGCCAGCATTGTATCTGAAAGGACAGATAACACAAAAAGTCATCATTTAATTTCATGCTAAGAAAATTATTGAAGGGTTTGTATTCTGAAACATGCTGGTGTAATTTATCTAGGGATTGATTCCTGCACCTTTGGCTACAGGAGAATTTTTCACTTTGATACGGAATACAGTATGAGCCCAGAATTTGCTGTGCTTCTGCTAAGCTTTAAACTCCGTGGCAGTCAACACAGACTCCTAATTAACCTAAAAAAAAAAAAAAAAAGGTTGTTTCACTATTACCAATACAGCCAAATTTAGCCACTTTTTTTGCAAAATATTTGCTAAATGAACTCAAAACCCAACTCAGGCTTGAAAACCCCCAATTCTAACATTTGTGAAGAACACCCAGCACTGACTCTTTACTGTAGGCTCCTTTGTACAGCCTGCAGGGTCAGACAGAGGAGCAGGTAAGTGTATTTGCATCCACTAAAGTCCCTGCATTATTACACCCTCTTCTAGTCCACGCAGAAGTGAAAGTCAGCAGCTTCTGCAGGCCTCGGACTTCCTTTCACCAGTTCTGTTTTTCACAGTGGACACGTTTAACACATTTGAGAAAGGCACAGAAACAGGGAGATGAGTGAGCTGGAATTGGTGAATCAGGGATAATAGTCTCCCTGAAGGGATTACTAACTCCTTGGGTAAGGGGTGGGATGAGAGAGGGTGCAGCTGTACGCGCCAAGGCTGAGGAGCAAAGCAGGATGGTGTGGTTTACTGAGAAGCAGAAGACTTTTATGTGAGAGTGAGACTGGTTGCCAACCTGCAGGATAAAAAAATCTGTTTGTGCAAGACAGCTGCACGCAGACAGACCATGCATGATGACGTGTCCCAGTAAAAGCCAGCTGAAGAACATGGTCAGGACTGACTGGTAAGATTTTGTGACGAATTTGTGATCTAACTTTACATCTGATGCCTGGGACTTCAAATCTGTGTGTATGGGGCATTTCCTGGGGTCTTTTTAAGACGTCAAATGAAAAGTAAATATTAAAGCTGTACACTTTGACTCACTGATAATATCAACGTAACCCACGAAATGTTAAGTTGTCCCCATATATTTGGCAGGCTCTGAAAATTATGGTTCAGGAGATGGATCGCCGATGTTATCCACCGTTACAGTAACGACTTCTCCTGCTATGCATTCTTCAACTGGGGATCACCACGAGTCAGAACTTTCCACTGCAAGTGCTACCGAAAGCAGCTTTGAAACAAAAAGTACTTCAAGTACTGAATTGAATCTCGTGGACAATCAGGACAGCATAGAAGCAACAGAACAGTCTATTTTGATATACATTGTTCCCATCGTGCTGCTGGTCCTGCTGATTTTGTTCATCATATTTTTTGTAATAAATCACAAAAGGAAAAAGTCTAAGCAAGGTAAATTTGTATTCTCGCGCATCACAAGGATATTTTTAGGACGTACTTGACATGAACAAAACTTTATTCGGAGGCCTAGGATGCTACATTTAAGATGTACTTCTCTGGTTGTAGTTGCACGTTTGACAGCTGGGAAGGGGATCCACCCCTGGCCAGAGGTATCTGGGCACGCAGCTCTCCTTGGGTGGGAGCTTGTTCGGCTTCTTGGCACCTCCTGCTCTTGCAGCACACCCATGGGAGCCACCACGCTGAGCTGTGGCTCCTGGCAGTGCCGGGAACAGCGTATGGATGGAGCCATGTGGCTGCAAATGCTTGTTCTGTCTTTAGGCTTAATAACTTCATACAAGGTGAATTCAATGCTTCTGTTGCCTGTACTGCTCACAAGGTAAAGCTGCTTGGAACTTCAATAAAATAAGGACAAGCAAAACCATTTTAAGGAATGCTTTTAAGGGATCCTGTAGACTGGTGGCAGCTATGAAGATATCTCAGTAAATGAGCTAGGGATCCAATGGTCAGGCTGCCTGGGTGCTGCAATAGGGAGAGCAGTGCTTCAGGAAGCTACTGAATTAGCAAAGAAAATTGGTAACTTGGAGTGTCAAGCTACAGAAAACAAACTGGGGTGTCATATTATAACCAGGCAGTTGGCAAGTGAAGTCCTGAAATGGTCATATTGGTGTCTCTACAGAACAAGAGTGCAGCTGTAAGCTCCTCAGCCTGCAGACAGTGACAAATGTTCAACATAGATTTCAAGTCCATTTTCCAAGACATTTTTAGGCTGCACCTGCCTTATCACTGGGCCACCCTCGTAGCAAACTCTGAATTCACAACCAGGCACCTAGTTACCCACCTATTTCTGGATGACCTGAAATGCAGATACAGCGTTCAGAGGGAGGGGAACTGTGGTGCCCTGTGGGAGCACAAGACTGGGATCTCTTGCCCTGTGCCTATTGCTTGGAGCTGGGATTTTGGGCATCCCCAGGTTCTGTGGCCCTGGGGTGACTCTGCAGTTAGGGAATGTGCTGGAACAAGTGTCAGCACCCATGGGTGACACTGAGTTAAAAATAAGCTGATTTAAGATGGTACACCATGTGAAACCTAAATGTAGTTCTTCATTCTTTTTTGAGGGCTGAGGCTTTTCAGCCACTTGATTCCTTGGGGGGAAGATTTTTTTTTTAATAATGGCTCTTACAATTTCTTTTTCCCCCATCTTTACTTTGTCTTGGGGTCATAGCTAGTTTTGGATTCCTTTTGACATCTGGCTAGTTCAGCTTCATTTGCCTAACTGAGATTTAATCTGCCATGCAAGTCCATTCCCCCCTTTCTCTCCATGAGCGGCTCCCAGAGTCTCCAGGCAGAGCTGGATTGCCTGCGTGGAGTCTGCAACAAAATGTCCCCATGCTTCCAGTAAACAACTTTTTTGCAGCAGTAGCTCCTTTTTGGGATGCCATTTCTCTCCCAACATCTGTTTTGCTCAGGGAAGCGTGCATCTGCTGTGGCCTGCCCACCACGGCGCTAACAGTCAGTTTCCTCCCAGCACGGCTGAGCTAATAATGAGCTCCTTTTAGCATGGCCAAGATTAAAAATAATGAGTTCCTCTGAAAATTACAAAGAGGAATAAATATTGTCTTTCATCTACAAGTCAACTATTATGCCTTTTGAAAATGCAATCTGTTTTACGGGACCCTATTGAAGGCTTGCTTGCAGTCTGAACCCTGTATATACAAAGAGCAGAACTATGAACACCAACTTTTTTCTTTTCCAGATGAGCTGGGAAGTGAAAATGTCAAAAGGTAAAGTTTATGAACATAACTTTTTTTTATTATTATTATACTTTAACAGGATATTATGATCTTTGGCTCCTTTACCACCTGTTTTAATTTAACTGTACACTGAACACCATTACCTTTTGCCATCAGTGGCTCCAGTTAACTATCTCTAGAGGTGGCTAAAGCGTGACTTCAGTATTTAGCTGAAGGTGTAAGACTAGAGCAGGAGAACAGGAGTTACAGTGGCCGAGGGGAGCACTGCCCCACAGGCACCCACTGCCCACAGCCACCCCTATGCCTGCTCTGGGCACCCCCAGGTCCATCAGCCACAGGACGTGTGAGGTGCCCCATAAGCAAAGGGGATCTGTTCCCAGGCTCAGCACAAGCTTTTACTATTCAGAATAAGCTCTGTGTCTCACTCCCCTGTTTTTCAAGTTTGTCTTCCCACTCTGAGGTGAGGCAGAAAGGCTTGCCCAGCTGCCCTGGAACCAATGCCTTACCTGCTGGGAAAACAAGCCAAAAGCTGCATGGCTCTTATCAGAGTGATAATTTTTATCATTATCTTTTATCGAGCTCCATCTTGCTAATCCAATGCCAGAAGTTTCACAGGGTCAAAAAAAAAGGGAGTTTTGCTAAAAGTATTTTTTGTACCATGTGACTCCAGGAATGATCAGCAAAGGGAAGCTAAACAGAGGCATTTAAATAAATGTGGAATTACTCTGCTCATGACCTTTCCTTTTGAAGTCACTGCCAATGTCAGTCACAGCTAGGATGAAACTTTAGGCCCTCTGCTTTTATCACTGGAGCAATGGGACTGTTGCTTGTATTCCAGCAGGGCAAACTATTTTATTTTTCAGCTTTCTATTTACAGTAAGGACAGTTCTCAAATAGCTGCAGTGGTCCTGTGCTCTGGTGTACCCCAGACTGCACCGTTTGAGTCCCTCAGCATGTGATGTCCCAGCCAGCCTTACCTCTGCCCAGGTCCAGCATCTCGCCGCCGTTCCTTCACATGAGTTTGCAGCCATTTCCATTTCATTCACACCCAGTGGGCTGACATCTTCTCAGATTACTAGGCTAAGATGGCTTTCCAGAGCTTATACATGTGTCTGGAATTATGAAAGATTCCAAAATTACTACATTGTGAGTTGTTTGAATTAAGCATTTTGTGTAATGCCATTTTTTTTTCTTTTCTTTTCTCCCTCCTCTCAAGTCCTATTTTTGAAGAAGACACACCCTCTGTTATGGAAATAGAAATGGAAGAGCTTGATAAATGGATGAACAGTATGAACAAAAACGGTACACGGTAACCCCTCCAATCCATCATCCCTCTCTTTCTAGCTGACGTAAATACCATGTGTAGAAAATGAGTGTAAGGCAGTTTCACTGCTTTTCTCAACATTTTTAGTTGTGTTCTTGACTCCCTGCTACAAAAATAGCAGCACAAATGTCAGGGGTAGAATTGTTCAGAGAAGTATTTTAGTTTGTGTGGGAGCTTATTTTTAACATATGATGGAATATCATAAATGTTTTGAGTTTCCAGTAGACACTTCTATTAAACACACATATAGCTGTGAATGGCATGTATATTTTTAAATACAGATTTTTAATGCGAAATACTCGTTTCTCTGAAGCATCTAGTCTTTCCAGTCAGAGTTACTACAGTTCTGTGCTCCATGTTGTGCATTTACTGATAGTTAAGACCACCACTTAAAATTGCTGTGGAGATCCTATGAATACATCCCTCCCCTATTTGTGTCCTTTTCCTCGCTTACCATCTCTACTGCATGAAACACTGTTCTTTGCTGCCAGCACTGTTCACCATCTACATCCTCTCTTGTAAGTCATCAGCCCATACAGCAATTAGTACCTGCACTAACTATTGCCAGCAGCATCTTCAGCTGCTTCTTAGCTACTTGTATTTTTACAAGTCTTGTATTTTTTCCCGTTTTCCTCCCAACTGAAATCTCCTGATCAAAATGTCTAAGAGCCCTTCAAGGATCTCCTCAAAAAATGCAGGTCCTAGGCAAGATGTGAATTAACCCAGGCCCAATTTTGAACTGCTAACAGCTTTTCACTGGCTAGGAAATGCTGAAGCCTTGCTATTTTTTTCATTCCTGCTCCCTTGCCTTACGTGCAAATGGCTCATTTGCCTGACCTCCTAGGGATGCTTTGTTTTTCAGGACATAAAACTCTTTGGAGCATTTCTTTGCGTTAGCACAGTGCTCCACATGATGGGGTTTTGACCTTCATGGTCTGTAAGCTCGAGCAGAAAACATGTGCTAAGCAGCAGCAGAGAAATAGAGACAGTGCGTATAGTACACTGGGAAATTGTGCTGTCAAATATTTTTTTAAATTCTGTGGACAGATGGAAGTAAATAGTTTATGTACAGGTTTTCCAGCTGGACTATGAGGCATAGGTGCAATGATAAGCAGTGGAAGATTAACAAATAGTCCTCCCTATAGCAGTTTATAGGAAACAGTCCTTAAAAGTAGTTCATTTGTATAGGTGCACATAAACAACTGAAATATATTTAAAGAAATTATGGCAACACCTATTAAAGGGAAGGAGGATTTAAAACACATAACATTTCTGCTATGGGGACCATGCAGATTTTACAGATAAAAAGGTGCAGAAGAGCATGCGCAGTTTTACGTTCTAGAGAGACTGCATGATAAAAGTTGGTGCAATTTTGAAATAAATGTAGAACAGCCAAGAGTAACTATATTCTCGTTTCTTACCCTTTTTCAGCTGACTGTGAATGTTTGCCTACTGTCAGAGAAGAAGAAAAAGAATCAATTGCCAACCCAAGGTACTTTTAATTCATTATATTATTTGAAGAAATATTGTCAATGTCATTCCAAATAATCCGATTTTTAATATATAATTATAAATAGAGTAATTCTTTGGTCTATTTAAGTTTTAAAGTTTTTATATATATACGGACTCTGATTTCAACTTAAACAAAAGGTTTGACACTCTTATTTCTAAACCGGTTCCTGCCTGTGAATTGCACCACTAAATAATCTTGCAGTTGTAAACCTGTGCGAGACAGACAACCAGATGGCACAGATGGAGTTTCACTCGCTGATCAGACTTTAATCACAGTTTCCTAAGGTGCTAATACAAGCATTCAGCATAGCTTCCTTGCCACTCCTCACCGGCACAGACACCCAGCTCCCCTCTGCCACCAGGTGCCTATAGGTCCCTGAGAACCCCTGCCAGATGTTTTGGCTGGAGCTGTGACCTGCCAGACAGGAGCTTGTCAGACCTCAGGAGAAACCCAAAGGATCTTCCCCTTCCAAGCAGAGATCTCAGAGGAATTGCAATGAACAGCTTGCAAACTTGAAAAACTTTCTAGCTGGTTTCCTGAGGGTTTTGACCAGAACCCTTTAAACCCCTCTCAAACTCACATTTTCACCAATTAAAAATCCTGGTTCCTCTGGAAGCAAGAGGCTGTACATCACCCTTGCCTGCACGTTTGTGTGGCAGCTGCATTTTGGGGAGTGGGCAAAGCAGCTCCTCTGTGTCAGGTTACGATAACAAATGATTAAACCATCTTGTGTGCCGAGAAAATCCCTGGTGCAGTGGAAGCAGTGGATGCAAGTAGGCAAGGCTGGGAGCAGAGAGGGGTGGCAGGAGGAGGACCTAGTTCTTCCCCTTCCTATGACACTGGATAACTCAGCTCAACATGTCTAACAAAGCTACACCTCCCACTGTAGATGACCTGGGCTCCCTCTTTTCTGAGTTTCCTTGCTCAAGAGTGAAATAGCAGTGATGCTAAACCACTGCTGCTGGAGAATTTGCAATTCAGTTGCTCCAAAGCTGCAGTTTCAGGGCAGCTTTTTGATGGGGCTTCTCCACAGCAGCTATTTGTATTTAAAAGGTTTCTGCTTACACCTATTGCATGAGAAATCATTGTTGTTCTGTTGTGGTTTGGGGGTTTTTTGTTTGGTTGGTTTTGGCTTTTTTGTTATTTAAATACTTAGATCCTAGGTTCCAGGTACAAGCACCAACAATAATTTTACCCTGAGCAGCTGGAAAAGATGCTGAATTCTCTAGCCATCTGGGTCTTCCCTTCCAGCCTCTAAATGATAATTCAGAAGGGGAAAATTGTTAAGGAGAGGCAGCCGCACACTGGTTCTCTGCAAACAGATTTGCTGAGCGTACCACTGACTATAGGAGGGAGCACAGGACAAAGCATGCTTGAGCCATATGCTAACACCAGCAGAAGTTAGTCGCACTATAAAAGGCTTTTTAGGGATAGCGACACCCTGAGCATTAAGTTTACTTTCCAAATCTTAAACGTTTCATTTTCAGAAAAAAAATCATCATGACCTACCAGCTTGAGTCAACACTTTAAATGTGCTCCTTGCTAAAGTGCTTTTGTGCTAGATTTGCATTAACCCCATCAGAAGGTGGGGGTTTTTGCTCCTGACTGGCAAAAGGTACCTTTGGGCTACACCCTACCTCAAGTTCCCCCCCTGTAAAATAGAGATATTGTCACTTCAAAGCACTACGGTGAGGCTTAAGCCTTGATGCAAAAAGACAGCCCTGTTCAGATAAGTATGCTTCAGTCCAAGTGAGGGTACACACATTATTTAACCATGTTTCCTCATGACTGGTATCTTAGCATCACCATAGAGAAATTTATGCCATTACATTGTAGGAAGGCAAACAAATGCAAATAAAAAGGGAGGATTTATCTCCAAAATGTTCATAGTTGCTCAGACAAAGGATATTAGTTGAATACAAAGTGCAAGATTATTAGGTTCAATTTCAGATTCTGAAAGACTGCTTTGCTTGGGCAAAATTCTTCTCAGATTATGGTAATTCCTTTTTTACATTTTAGTGATGACATTTCAATATAGGAAACATCTCAAGGTCTCACTGAACACAGCTGGCTGAGTGTTGTTTTCCTGCTTCATAAAGATGCTGGGGGGAGTTCATCAAGACCCAAATGTTTTGAACGATGAATTGATTTTGATAAAATCTCAGACTAAAGGTTTCAATAATGACATTTTGACATTTTCAGAATGAAAGTTGTTCCAAAACTACTTTTCAGAGTAAGTGACTTTTTAATATAAAATTTTTAAAAGGTTTAAAGAACAGAACCCTGTGGTGGGGAAATATTTCTAGGTTAAGTGTTTCCCTTCACTCAAAACTACTTTTTCAAATTTCATTTTACATGAAATTTTGAAACATGCTTCATTTCAAAGTGAAAAGCTATCTGAGGTGGTGGGATTTCCAGATAAACAAAAATAAATCATTGTTTCCTGTTTACTTCTGCAATTGAACCTTATCAGACCAATATCGGCTGCTTTCCTGACCAAACTCTTAGCTGAACAAATAATGTCAAAGAGAGAACTACATACAGATAAATAGGTGTTTTCAGCAGCTTTTTTAGGCAAGAAAAATTAAAGACTATGAAGTAAAATGAAATAAGCTATTATTATGACAAAAATTTGTACTCAAGAGCATCAAGGCTGCAGATTTGTGCACGAGAGGCAAAATACGACAGCCTGGGCTCCTTTGTAGGCGGAGGTCAGCTGCCTTATGCGTAAGCTAAGTTAAAAATATATATGTACATATAAATTCTTTAATATATATATTTAAAATACTATATCTTGCCTCTGAAACCCAGTGCTAAAACCCTGATTGTGCCTGAGCAGAGAACCCCAAAGCCTCCCCAGCCTCGCTGGGGCTGGGGTTCCCGTGCTGTGCATGCAGGAGGGAGCGGGCAGGTGAGGGCTGATGCTCCTGTGGAGCACAAGGGGGTGAAGACCAGGCTCTTCTCTGGGGATCTTTACTCCCCCAGCAAAACAGAAGCACAGCCTGTCCCCTTACAGCGTGAGTCTTTGCAGGCTGTCAAGTGCCATGAAGCAATCCTCCCCCTGCTTTACCACACCTCCTGAGGGGGGTTGGTTTTCCTTGGGCGCTGCTGGGCACCCTCCTAGTCTTTCTGCCTCCTTATGGAGAGGTGTTCTGGGGCAGGGGGAATAAGTCAGCACAAAAAGAAATACTCCTTTCCCAGGCTGTGCTTCGGTTTGGCAAGATACTTAAAAAAATGCAAAATATTATGAGTAGCCCTTTTAACTTCAGAGGTGGTTTAAAGCCCTGCTGTTAATACTGACTGAAGTCTAAACAGCTGATTAAAAATGTGGCATTTTTAATGTTGGCACAAACACCAAAGTGCTAGGCAGAAACCAGCAGGACAAAGAAAATTCACCTGTTACGAGGCCAGCTCTAATACACAAATTCCATCTGTAAAAAATTATCCTCCCCTGTGGAAAGAGGACACTTTTTTTTGCTCAGTCCTGGCCTGGGAGCAGGAGAAGGGGCGCTGGGTGGCCACTAACCAGCAGAGAAATCAGAGCAGCCCTTTGTGCCAGCATCTAGCACCACAGATGGGGTCGTTTCATACATTGCATGGCTGACACATTCATTTTCTGATAACACCTTCTCACGGACTGCAGAGATACTCTTGTGTATTATTTCCTGCCGAGACAACTAACCCAACAGCATGACACTGGTCTGTTTTTTTCTTTTCCATGTATACGCAGCGATGGTGAATCATGAAGTCAGAACAGCAAAGAACTGATTAAAGGGAAGTGGCGCACAAGCGAACGATCCCCAACTCCCCCCAGATATTGGATGAACTGGATTTAAATATAATTCATCTCAAAAGGCCAGAGAAGCAAAAGCTTTTGTTTTGTCCTGCCACATACCATCTTCAGAAAGGAAACATCACCAAGAGGAAGAAAAAGAAAGAAAAAAAGGAAAAGCACTACAGTAAGAGCAGGGGCTGATCTAAATTACTTCCGCAATGAGATTAATCACAAATGAAGAGAAGCCTCCACCCCCAAAAAAAAGTTCTTGAAATAGTCCTTTCTGTCTAATTCTTCAGCTGTGTATCATGCAGAACCACTTCTGTCCAAAGTTCAGTGGGTTTCTTTGTATTTTTTTTTGTGCCCTTTTTTTTTCTTAGATATAAACAGCATCCATAATTCTGGACTACCCTGGTTTGTTGGATGTGAAGCTCATGCTTATGCAATGTTTGCTTTTCAATTTGCTTTTTGGTAACAGTGCACTGATTTGCACAGGACTTCTGCTGGGGAGGTACCAGACTAGGACTGACAGACAGAGCAGCTGAAAAGCCTTTCAGAGGATTCGATGGAAGCAACTGCAGCCCAGCAAGGGCATGGTCTTTGTAGCGTGCTGTTTGATTTTCAAATTAAAGGCACTGTAAAAGTGAAAAAAAATAATTTTACACTGCCTTTCAATTCGTTATCTCCACAGGTTAGTACCCTGGGTTAGCTCTTACTATTTAAGCCTCCACCCTGCTGGGTGCTGTTCTCTAACAAATACCTACTTCAGGAATATTCAACTTGAAAATATTTCTATTTTAAAAATAAGAAAGGTTGAAAAACTAACAATTGAGTACTCACACCAAACACCTATTTAGATGAGTATGTGTTACGCGAAACTGCTTGGTCAAGGTTTTCAGATGCAATAAGATTTCTGCTTCTTCTGGTTTTGAATATTGAGCTTGGAATATCTGAAAGACATTGACTTCTAAGTATGCCTGGTCAACTTTAATTACACTGAAAAAAAAAATTTCAGACTCCTGAGATACCTCAAGGTGAGAATATGAATATTGTAATTGCATCCATTGATTTTAGGTGGCATGTCTCTTATGGGTGTAGTTTAAATATGTAATGCACACATGAAAGTGGATACTTGTCTGTGCAAAGCTTCCCTTGCCTTATTTAAAATTTTATATCCGACCCATCCTCATCTTCCTTTTAAATGTATAATTTCTTCCCACTCAATGCATGTTTAATATGATCAGTTTTGGTTTGCCTGCAAATATTTCACTAATATGTTATCAGGCACTGCTTGGTTAAAGAGAGCAAACAAACACTCCAAGCCTCTGGGATGACAGCTAAGTGTCACTAACAGCTGACAGATACAGAGGGGGGTTCAGCTTTGTGAGTAATTGAGGATGTGCCAAATTCTAAAAGGAAAAATTGTTTACAGCTCTCCATATTCATTTGTTACTGAATATGACTTGACTAGTAATTTCCTCAAAGAGTAAAAGATTCCTTCACTGTTCCAAAACAATTTATTGCAAATATTGGATTTAATCTTGAGTGATGGTAAATTAATTCTCCCTGCTTGGATGATTTTTAACGTTAAAAAAAATGTTTTAAGTTAATCTTCCACAAGAATTTTTATTTTTTTTTTAATTTTTATATTTCCACACGTTTCTGATGGTAAACTCATTCTCTAGAGTGTTGATTTAAAATAATGCAGTCACTAGGGGGAAGAGTGAAAGACTGAAATATAGGAAATTTTTTAAAAATGGAAGTGAATATTTTCTGGTAGCAGCCTTTTTAGCAACTCTTTTACAACAAAGATTTTATGCTGAGACTTCCTACAGTTTGCAAAGCGGTAGCCTGAGGACGCTCAAAACAGAAATGTTTTCTTTAACAGTCGAAGATAAAAATATGTACTTTGAGACCATTACCAGCTGTGTGGCTGGAGAGAAGCCCATGGTGACCCAGCAGTTTGCAGCATCAGTGTCCAAGCGGTGACTCCTGCCCTTCCATGCTTCGGGCCACGCAGCTCCGCATCCAGCAGCCACCACCTTCTCCTTGAAGCACAGCTCCTGAAGCACAGCTGGAACAAAGAAGAACTGGAAGCTTTGCCTTTTTTAAAGTTTTATTTTATTATTTTTTTTTTTTACTTTTGAAATTTACCCAGTGCCCTCCAAAATGGCAATATATAGCAAAAGTCAGTTCTGACACGCTGATGATCCTTCACCCTGTCCTAGCTATGCATAGCAGCTACAATAGCATAATGCAGTAACTCAATCTGCTATGGCATTTGAGAAGAGGCTGTGTCATGCGTGTTTTGTTGTTTGTTTGGGATTAATGTTAATACCAGTCGGTCCTTTTGTTAGATAAAATGCCGTACAGTTCCTAATAAGTTTCTCACAGAGATTTAGTTTCATTAAAAAAAAAATATTTAAGTTTAGCTTAAGGGAATGCATATTCCATAAACTCAAATTAATAAGAATTAATTCTTATTCCAGAGTTCATGATTAATCAGTTTCTACGTCAAGCTTTAAAATCAATTTTGCCCAGAACTAATGTCTAGGTGAGAGCTCTATAATTATCCAGGTTATGCCATTTACCGTCTTCAAGATTTGGCGTGTCAGGAAATTTCTTTTCCTCTTCTGGAACTTTCTAAGCATTGCAAAATACAAAAAAAATAATTGATTGGACACTTGGTCAATTTTGGGTATAAGTTATCTTATCTTTTTAAAAACAAAAAGTCTCACAGTTGCTGAGTTACCATTGAAAAAGGTTGTATTTCATCAAATGTTATCCTCCCTGTGTGAAACAGCCCACCTGTCAAATAATTTGCATTTCAATATAGTTATGGATATTTCTAGTAGTTTCCCTTACTGCTAGACAAATACAATTTTTAATATTTCTATTTTCCCCTAAACATTTTTACAACATTGTTATTCTTCCCCTCCCAACAGAAATGCCAGCCTTAAGCTATGGAGGAGATCACTCCATCCGATACCTCACCCTTGCTCCACGCTCCCCATTTCACCCCTCTGGTCTCTTTCTTTGTCCATTATTTTAACATTGATTTCTGCATTTGGCAGGGCCACCACCCAGCATCCACTCACTCTGGCAACAATCAAGTCTTTCCATGGAGCCCCAGTCCGTGGGCACAGCTCCAGTTAGGAGATCACTCCATCTGATACCTCACCCTTGCTCCACGCTGCCCCATTTCACCCCTCTGGTCTCTTCCTTTGATCATTATTTTAACATTGATTTCTGCATTTGCCAGGGCCACCGCCCAGCATCCACTCACTCTGGCAACAGTCGAGTCTTTCCGTGGAGCCCCAGTCCGTGGGCACAGCTCCAGTGTGGCCCCAGCTTCTCTCCTCCCTCACCCCATTCGAGATTCCACTCCTCTGCTTACTTGTGTGCCCCTTGCACTCCTCTTTGTTTTACACTTGTCATCAGTTCCTGGGCGTTTCCTTTTGCACACAGTTTATCTCAATATTTCAATCTTGTAGGTGGATTGAATTACAGGGGATTTAGACCTTTTAACTCCTGTATTAGTACAGCCAAAACATTGTAATATTCCAGTTTAGAAGTACTACCTTCACACCTTCTGTTGATGCACCTTAATTTTCCCTAAGTTATGCACACAGACAAGTCCTCTCTTCCACAAAGAGCAAGACAACCAGACAGCAGATAAGAAACTAGCAGATTTTAAAAATTATGTTAATATTGCCATACACTACAGAGTATTTGTATCTCTGCTGTAATACCCTCAGCAGCAGCCTGGTCTGAGCTGGCCCATCTCACCACCATCCTGCAACACCTACCACCAACTGATAACTCAAGTTATTATCCCTCATTAGAAACTGAGCAAAAACTATACAAATAGAAAGTCACATGCACTATGTATTTCTCTAAAATGTTTAGCAAACATGACCCCTAAGGAGCTGTTCCCTCTTCTTCCAGTTACCTCCAGTGTTTTAGTAGTTACCCAGCACTGCTCAAGGCAATTTGACATCTAATTTATGGCGTGAGCACTTTTTGTCCTACAGAAGACAGGAAAGCCAAAGGAAGAATTGGTTGAGAGATATATGCATAAGAAAAAGGGTAATTATCAACCAGTATCCTTTCTACATATGCTGAAAACTAGTATCTAAACAGAATTTTTCAACAAAATAGAAATACCCTGTCCTTAAAGTTACAAACATAACGTTACTGGCATTAGCAGCAGTTGATTGAGACCATAAGAGTGTAATTAGCAGCAGTTGATTGAGACCATAAGAGTCATGCACTTCTCAAGCACGTAACCCTTACGCTAATCTCAGCAAAAAAGAATCCTGGTTTTAGTTTCTAAGTAGTCGTAAGTCATGAATCCATAGCTAGCTATTGATCTATGAGATAAAGTAAATATTTTTGCAATGCTAAGTCTGATGGAGGGCTATAAAAAAATCTCCAAATTTTGTTTACTTTCTGTATATGAAACTGCTGTATGTGCATTTGTTTTATCAAATAGTTCTTTCAAATTATTTTGTAATTTAAATATCTAAAAGTCATAGTATTGCTCAACTGTATATAAGAGTTTGAGATTTTAAAGAATCTTTTCTAATAAAGGTTTATAGCAGGTTTGAGTGTCTACAGGTCCTCTTTTTCCCCATAGTCCTGCTAATCCATTCCAGTCAATGGGTGCTAATTATTTGTTGTTGATGTCAAGATTACTCAAGCCATAGAAGATACACAAAGATATATATGGTATGTTGATATGTTACTCTCATCAGCTAGCTAAAATTCAGGCAAGAAAGCCTAAAGGCTAGCTCAATACCCTTGCCAAATTACTGAAGAGCTTTGAAATTAATTTTACCTAAGCAAAAATATGATGCTTTATATTTCCTTATATTTTTGAGTGGCTATTCCGAATTGTCTTTATCAATAGTCAAATTCTGGCTCCAGTGAAATTGGTAAACACCCTCTGATTTCTCCTTGAGTGTCTGTAGCCATCTTTCTTTAATGATCAATCACTTCTCAGGTTATTCCAGTTAAGCACCAAAATGAGAGTCTCCAAATTGATAAAGCTGCTAAAATAATTTTCAGTGGATATAAGGAAAAAGGAAAAAAAAGGAAAAAGAAGAGGAAAAAAAGAGAGACATATTTCTAGATAGAGCGATAAAAAAAGAGAGACATATTTCTAGATAGAGCTTTAGAACAGATTAGTAAAGCAGAGCATTACTTTCACTCATATTTGTAGCAGTTTCAGTAGAGGGGAGCAGAATGGCCCAGGGGTATCCAGAAAGCTCAAGCCAGTCTTGATTCTATGTAATGTCTTTAATGTTCAAACAACCTCAATATGAGAGCATCGTAGCAATGACCAGGCAGAAACTAGTTCTCTCCCTCTCTCTCTCCCCTAAACATCACATCAGCAAGAAACTTGTCTTTGGTACAAGCGCAGACTCTTAAAAACAACAACAAAAATAAATCCGTATTTTGGGCGCCCTCTAGGGAGGTTCAAAAGAGGACTTTACTACAGAGCCCGAGGACCTGTTTTGACACCTCATGCCCCATTTCGTGCTGCCCCCCCAGAGCAGGGGCTCCTCCAGGGTGCACTAGGGAGGCTGGAGGGGTCACGGGGCAGCTGGATTGGCAAACAGAGACGGGATGAGGGATGGGCAAAGGACAAATCCCAAGCACTCACTCTGTGGTGAAAAGCACGTGGTTGCTTCGGGTCAGGTTTTATGCTGGATCAGCCTGATTTTGGGCGGGATCCCACAAGCTGAGGGCTGGGAGCACTTCCCTGCTGCTACACAACCCTCCGAGCACCCAAGCAGATATTACAGTCCCATCCACACTCTCCTACAGGTTTTTATTTGTATATTAAATTGCATTTTTTTATTAGCACATTTTCAATGGTTATTTGTACACCAGTCATGCATAACTGTAGTTTAAGAATTGTCAGATTGGTTCTGGCAACCAGAGAAATAAATATTGCTAATTTAGGCACCTGAAAGACACAGGAAGCCATTTGAGACACACTAAGAAGGTTTTGGCACAAAAATAAAGTTTCTTTCCTTTCCCCATTCTTTGAAGAGATTAGATTGCTATAACTTTTATTTAAAAGGCAACATAAATACATCTAGCTCATTCAGCTAATTTTAATTAAAAAAAATAAAGAAGATGCCTCAATAGAAGGATCAGGACACCTTTTGACTAGCAGCTCTTTCATGAAAAGGATGATTCTTCTCAAAACCAAACAATTCTAACTACAGACACTTCAGTGATTTTTAACTTCTACAAAAACTTTAAAAACTACTGAAAGGGGACTTCTCAACATATTTTGTTAGAAAGCTTTGAAACAAAAGTGGTTTTCTATATAAAGTACCAATATAAAGTTCAGAAGTGGAGTAATACAGTTCAATTAACTTTCTGTCTTGCCTCCAATCAACTCAAATTTTATTTATTCTTACTTCAATTCACAGGAGAAGCTAATGTTTGAGACTTACGCTCCTTAAAACAGAGGAAATAAAGCCTGCTACAAAAATACCCACCCAGATATTATTACTTAAAATACCAAGACAGAAACCTAAGATCAAATCTGAGTTTGAACTTACATATTTAATTTTGGGAAGCAATACCTAATGAAGTTGCATACATTACTGTCAGCACCGGGAAGGCAGTATAATCAGGCAGCATAATCTCAATTTTTACTTTCTTCATAAGCTGAAGAGATCTATATGCTTTTATAATGCACACATACAGAGCAGAAGTTGAAGACTTGCCTTACAATCTCTGATGTTTACCAGGTTTGACGGGTTTCATTAATATACATGGGATTTGCTTGTTGTAATCAGACTTCTGTTCTATTTTATAACCTGAAATATGGAGCAAATAGCATGTTATGCTGCTGTCATTGGGATTTGTATGACAAGGTATCAAAACTAGGAGGTTTCCCCAACAGAAGCAGCAGTTTTGTTAATTTCTTATTCAAGTAATTCTAGCAGATTCAGCCCCCCTCCTTTTTAATTTTTTTTTTTTAAATAAACATAGTAGTTTAGTTTTACTGACTTTCTACTCTCAGGGATGCTAGTAGGGCTTTTTGTTGAAAAATTTTCATTCTTTTACAACAGGTTCAAATAACACCTGGAAAGAAAACATAAAACTTTACAGTCCCTCCAATGTCTGCAGCAAATGCATTCAGGCAGTAGAAGTAATGATAGCAATAATTTATCAGCCTCAGACCTCTGAGGTTACCATTCGCTGTGGATTAGCTGTAACTTTTATTATTCAGCGTACTGCAGTTAGGCTGTAGGTACTAAGAATAAGCATCCACCCTTCCTGGATTGAAGTGCCTGCAGCTTGTCCTGCTTTCACACGTTTCCTGCAGAACAGAGCAAGCAGCACTCCCTGCAGGGAAACGTCCAGTAAACCATGAGAAATGAGAGAATTATGTGCAGGATGGAATAATGTTGCCAAAAAGCCCTAGTTTAGATTTCCTGAATATATATGTATTTGGGCACAGTATCACGATGAACCAAAGTGTTCCCCCGCTTTGCTCTGCCTTAGTCACAGCCAGCTCTGGTTGGGAATGATACTCCGAGTGCCACCCCCAGGAGGGAATCCTGACCTGCAGCTGCAGGAGGGCTTTTCCCCGCAGTGCATACTCCCTGCTGAACTGCACTTCTTGGGACTGAAAGGAGGAACCAAAAAAGGACGCCAGGGTTTGGGGGTAGTTGGTCTTGGTGGCAGTGGGAGGCCACACTGGCTTGGCTGGCTTGCTCCCTGGAGTTTAACCCGGGTGGGTTACAAGGCAACCGCTCTCACCCCAACAAACAGGTACCCAACACTTTTTGGGGAGCACCATGACCCTAGTTATTGCTCATCCCCCTGAGGGCACACTGGAGCTGTGGGGCAGTGACATGGTTCCCTGTGCTGCTGGGATCAGCTGTGAGGGTGATGGCCACGGGGCATGAAGCTGTGTTGGGCAGTGCCACCACCAGGGGAAGACTCCTCCTGAGGGAACATCACCCACAGCCCAAGCTTCTTCTGCAGAAAGAAGCAGCGTAAGAAGCACTAGAGCAGCATGATCTTCAGCCAGACCTTTTCAGTCTTATTTGATACTAGTCCTGCAGACCAATCCAAACGATACAAGAAGACTCTTCTCGAAAC